TAAATATCATATAAGAATATCTCTTCATGTTTTTGTTTCTTTTCCTACTCTGGACTTTACTGCTTTGGTTTTTTTGCATGCTTATTTAGATATTCATGAGTAATACATTTTATTTTCATATTCAATTCAGATATCAGAACCCTTGATTATTTTTAAAAAATGAGAGCTTGTTGCATTCATGCTAAGGAAAATGTTAATTTGCAGGTCAATACTTAGATTTCTCCTTGGCTTGAAGAAAATGTATTATTCTTACAGCAATTTTTGAAAATTGTTGTTTGACTCAGGTGCTGCTGTAAGTGAAGCTGTGACATTTCCCAATGGATCTTTCTCAATTCACTGGGCGCATGGTGGAACACTTCAATGTGCTGCCCTGGCACGCCATCCTTTGTTGGAGTTGGCTTTGCCAGTTGAAGCTGAGATGTTGCCCATGTGGAGTCAGCAGATAATGACTTTGGGAGATGGTCTTGTGAATGCTATGCAATGGACTTACACACTTGTGGGTGATGTGGGGGCATCAGAACAGACATTGCAGAGAGAATTATGGGTAAATATTTTACTATGTGGGAATACCACATCTAATGTATTTGGTCACTGACTTGAAAATGTTCCGTTATTCTCTGAATAAGAAAAAGTTTTTTTGCATGAACAGTACAATATGAAGAAGTTTTAATTCTTTAAAATTATTCATTAAATAATGTGTTTAGATACAGAGCAGTTCTGAAATTACGTATTATTAAATTTTACATTATTTAAGATGTTCCAGATTATTTAAGATGTTCCAGATTATTTAAGATGTTTCGTGGTGCAGGTCTGATTTTCATTAAAATATTAAATTTTGAAAATTGCAAAAGTGAAACATTTTTTGGACCCTACAACTACATTACTGAAGATAGACATACTTTGTTAATGAAATCTACTTTTCAAAATTAGATATATAAATGACATCATTTACAAATTTTTCAAAATATGAGTAATTTTGTGTGATGTTGAGTGAAATTTTGGCAATTTTGAAAACATATTTAAAGAAGATTTTGTTAAAAACAGCTCCAAATTCAAGTAGTTTTTATGTAATCCTTAGTAATATGGTGACAAAGTTAAAATATTTTCCTACACTTTCAGTTTTAAAATCCCTCCCCCCCCTAAATATTAGTTTTTGCCAAACTTTCAGTTATTTGTGGCAATTTTTGAAGTGATGGGTGAAGTGGTTGTAAGACAGAAGTTACAATATTTTAAAGTGTGACCATTACAAATAATTAAAGAACGTATATGCTGTTGTGGCTCTACTGATTTGTGTGTGAAATGAATTCAATACTGGTTTATTTATAACAATTTGTTGCATTATATCTTTAAGTAATGTGATACAGGAAAAAACCAATGATACCAATTATAATTTAATGTTATTATCGTAAAAAGGAATAGTTGTTAGGAATTCTTGTCTACGTTACATTATTGTCACTCCTATTCTGATTTTGTTTGACTCTGTGCTGTGATACTCTATTTTATGCTTGGATTTCTCCCTGACTAATTTACATTCTTTTCTCTCAACAAATATTAATATTTGTACAGTGAAAGTGCAATTTGTCACATCTCCAAGAAATTCTCTTTTTTGACTCCTCAATTGTTAGGATTGGTTGTGTGTCAAATGTATTGATACTTCAAAAACAACATAATTAATTCAAAGTATAACAATTTTGCATAATATACGAGAAACATAAAATACAGTAAGAATCAATGTATGTTGCTTTTAAATATTTCATCGAGTTTTATTATCTTACTAGCAAAACTAGAGATAGGTAATTAATATTTTTGACATTAGTAGTTTATAAGAATGCTTATTAATGGATTTCAAGAAAAAAATTGATGAAAAAAATTTCATATTTATTGAAATAAACATAAAAAGATTTAAGAGAAACATGTTTTTTGTGTGATTCTGCATTGTACCATTTAATTTTTCTGACTTGGTAACTATAAAATGATGACAATTTTAATATTTACTTCAGGTAAACAATTCAAGAGTCCTGGGCATTGAATTTGATCAAGCTAGTGGGCGAGAAACTTTCTATAACAGAGATCGCCAAGCACTTCTGTCAGTAACATTTGATACTGCTGGTTTGCCACAATCATGGATTCCAGCAAATGGTGGTCAACCAGTAAATATTTCTTATGACAGGTAATGATAATCACTTTCTTCTTTTTTTTCTTTTCCTATTCCACCAGAGATCCAAACATTACAATGTTATCTTCATAAAAGAATTCATATAAATTTCCCATCATAACATCAAATATTTGATTGTAGGTTCAATCGTGTTGATGGTTGGCAATGGGGAATTCAGAGTGAGAAATACAGTTATGAAAACCATGGTCTTCTATCTGAAATAAAATCTCCACTTGATGGTTCAACTAAATTTACTTACAATGAATTGAATATGGTAAGGAAATTGTTAGAATGTATTAATAATACTTCCTTGAAATCTGTGGGATTACTTTTCTTAAAATTTAATTATGTTTTCTCATTTCAAGCTTCTGCACATAACATTGCCCAGTCAAAGGCGCTTCACTCTCCAATATGATGATGATGGTGGCCTACGTCATGTTATTCTGCCAAGCACAACGAGACACTCCTTTTCCTGCCAACCATCACTGGGCTTCCTGCGTGTGACATACACACCTCCAGGTAGCCAGCGGGCCTACATCCAGCATTATGCTCATTCTGGTGCCCTTCTACAGACAGTCTTCCCTGGGGATGGAGCACGAGTTATCTATAGATATCATAGTTCTGGACAACTTGCAGAGGTGAGTAATTCAAAGTTATGTACTGTATTCTTTAGTAATTTTTTGAAACATTTGTTTAAAAACAACAGTGAAAGAAACTTGCAATATATCTCGCCTAATTACCAAGATGTGTAACTCATGTTTCTTCCTTTTTAAAGGAGGGTCAGAAAAGTAACTAGTTGACTGTGAAAAGATTAATGATTAACATTTATTTTTTAAATAAATATTTAAGCATTCTTAGATATATATAGAGACCAAAATGTTATATAATTAAACTTCTTCACAATTACAGTGAAGTTATGAGGTTAGCAACTAGTTTATTATGGGGCTAAGTGCTCTGAAATTGAATATGTATACACTACTTGTTACTCTTTGGGTTACTATCTCTATGGGTTACTGTAATTTTGAAACTAACAAATTATTAAAGGAAGAAAAATTGATTTTTCTACTAGAAACTGAATAGTAAGATATGTTATATGGAAGAAGAAAGAAAAAAAAAGTGTAGTAGTTCCTTGACACTTCATTTCTAGCATTTACAACAAGAGTTCTGCATGTTCTGTATGTTCTGCTCATTGAAGGCTGGTTATGTGACATCAGCTGGCTAATAAGACACTTTTATGTCAGTGACCAGAGATGTTAGACCAGATATGGTTCAATGAATGTTTCAATTTCAGTATCTGGTAATGTGTACCACATGTGGAAATCTCACTTAAATTCAGGATGTAGGAACCTTAGTACATGTTTGCACATGTTCCATACATTTAGCTGAAAACATGATTAGGTGCTTTCCGGTCATGAATAATTACAACAAAATTGAATTATTATATTGTTAGTTTTACATTATTGGCAAAATACAGTGTTTAAGCCTTGATGTAAATATGTAAACTACATCTGTAGAAAATTTGAAAAAATGATCCTTAATGTATATACATATCATATTACAAATGTATCTAATTATAAAATATTTTAGTTTGTGTAGAAACTTAATGTTATAAGAAAATAATGCTATTTCGATTGGAAAATCAGAAAATTTCCTTTAGTCCTTGTAAAGGCTCTCTTCACAGTCACTTTAGCAGCTGTGATCATTTAGTGGTTGTTTGCAGAGTGAAAGGATTCCAGTTAGAGCAACAATGGTTAAACTTCTTTTAAGTTTTTCTTCATTTATAAGAAAACATGAGAGAAAGACTGGACAAAAAAAAAATAATAGTTGCATTTATTTATTGCAAATGAGATTTTTTCCAGTACTTATTTTTGGCACATCCTTTCCATGACATCACAAGCTACTACTGCTGGGCTTCAGTGATCTTCCACCAATTATTGTACAAATGTGGATAATGAACTTTATGCAATGCTTTCATTTTGCCAATGAGGGGGCTCAAAGATCTTGGGTTCAATCTTTTTGACTATTTTCTAGAAGCTTCTTTAACGTTATTCTTGTCAGTTTATTAGGTCTAGAATGCACTCTTTTGCATGACAAGCTTGACACAACTAGGAGTTCTGCAATAACCAAATTATTTTATAACCTAACAATGGTTTCCGTATTTTTTGGATGATTTTTGGAGTCACAATGGTTGTCAGAGTTCAACAGGGATTTGCATAATAGCGTGAAAATATCTGAATCACATTTTTAGAGTTCTAAGGTAGTTAACTAAGCCAATGATGTATTTTCCTTTGAAGTAGAAACATAAACAGTTCATAAATGTCCCATTTTACACAAGATGGAATCCATATTGCTTTTTCATTTAAATCCTGTGAAACTTTTTATTCAATCTGTTTTTTTGTAAGTGAAATAAAACTTTTAATGTTCAAAGCAAACAATAGAGTTACTTTACTTTCTGGTATACATGGTTTAAGAAAGTTATTTAATGATGCAAACAATTGATGTCCAGATTTTGATCCACATTTTTGGGAGCTCTGATACTGACAAAGTTTTCTTTTCCTCCTATCAGTCCATCTGCTCGACTGTCCATCAGAGAACAACATTAGCACCTAAACTATTCATGGGATACTCATCAAAATGGATATTCACAAATCAATTTAATTGATATCATGGTGCCTTAAATTTGAAACTATCTTTTAATTTTACTTTACATGAAGTCCCACTGTATGAAAACATTTTCAAAGTTTTTTCAAAAATGGCTTAACTTTTTTAAATTGCTGAAATGGAACATATTTGTGCTACAACATACGTGCTAGAATACATTTGGTGCTTAAACATTCTTCCTCATATTATTTCTAACTTTTTCAATTTTCAAAAATTCAGAGTTCAACAAAAGTGAGACCTGCACCATTCTTTTAAGTGTTCCTTGTTCTATCCTGGAAAAAAGAAATTGAAGAAAATATTTGGTGTAGTTGTTGAGAAAATGTTTTTTTTTTATTAATTTGCATTATTTTTAAGCAGTAATTGCTTGAAAACTACTATTTTTTCAACAACTTTGTACATGCGATTTTTTAAAGAGCTGATTTTTTAAACAGATTTTGTTGGAAACAAAAATATTCAAGTTTGAAAAAATGTGAAAAAATGCCCATCTTAAATATTATAGTTGTAGGAAGACATACAAATGTTGAACTTCTGCAATTTTTGAAAAATCAGGACTTTCAACAAAAATGAGTCCTGCTCCATGTTTTAAGCATCTTTACACTATCCAAGGACAAAATATAATTAAAAAATTGGGAGCTAGTTATGAGAAAATTTTGAAATGTAATTGAGGCTTCAAGTAAAGTACCCCCCAAAATTACAATATACATTTGAAACTTTCAGGACCTTGAGTTCCTTTAAATAGATTGAGGAATATACATTTTGGAGAAAATTAGTAGAGCAGTTTTTGGTGCTCGTATTGATCACACGCGGATGGGCACAGGCAGATAGACAGACAGACATTCTGCCATCAATCCACTTTTCAATATCAGGGACTCATTAATCATGGACTCTAATTACACATGTTAGAGGAAGTAATTTACTGTATATAGGAACAAGATTTATCCACTTTTCATTACCAGGGTCCATTACCATTATAAGAGTTTTTCTGTTGAAAATTTGCCCTTTCTTGGCCCTGATAACAATATTTTGTGTATTATAAAGTAAGGGCAAGGAAGTAGAAAACCACAGATTCAATTTTCATTAAAACCTCTTAATTTTCAAAAATTGCAAATATGTAGAATTGGATTGACACCCTTCTAGTACTACATTTATGGAAGATAGAGATTGTTATCTTAAAAAAATATGTTCTTCAAAATTAGGTCTTAAAATAATGTCAATTAATTCCTTTTTTAATTTTCTAAATATAAAAATTTTCAGGTAATTTTGAGTGAAAGTGTATAATATGAAATATTACATTAACAATATTTTCTCAATAACAGCTCTCAATTTATTCTGTATATGATTTGTTCAAATAGAGTAAAGTGTGATTAATGAAATGTGGAAAAAACATTAGAATTTTGAAAATTGCAGATGTTCAACATTTATTCATTCTTTTGTGCAATTACATTATTAAAAATAAAGAATTCTTATTCAATCATCATCACAAACTGCAGGATGAAAGGCCAGGGGCCCTGTTCCTGATTAAACAATAGACCTGAAATATTTCAGTCTTCCAGGTGTTCCTGTATGATTCTTTTCTTTCTTAGTCTTCCTATACCTCTGTCCAAGTTGTTTATATTTTAGGGCTGCCTTTGAGAATCTTTCTTCTTTCATTCATTTAATGCAATCTATTAGGCAATATTAGATCTTTATATCATGTCAGTAATAATCATGGAAGAACAATATGGATTCTGGGAAGGGAGGACTAGGTACAAAATGCTACAATCACACTCCAGCGAATTATGGAGATAAGGAAAGAAGTCAGCAAGAACATGCATAGTGTTTGTATAGACTTTTAAAAGTTTATGACAATGTAAGTAGACTATGGAAAACTTGATCTAACGAATTATACTAGAACATTTAGTCAAAGCATTTAGAGCTTATACCAAGGCCGACCTGGTTGGCTGAGGTGGCTAGAGCGTGTGCCAACTCAGTGTCTCCGTTCAAAGGGTTGTAGGTATGAGTCTCGCCCTGGGCGTGACCATCTGTCCTTTGTTTTTTGCTCCTTGTGAGTCTGCTGACCACAGACAGAAGAGCCAGCTTGTATGTCTAGTGTAAAGGTTAATATGTGTCCCCATGAGGGACATGGTGGGTATCTGGCACAGATAGCCAAAATCAGCATTCCCTGAACCTGGAAAAAGCCCCAGGAAGAAAAAAATACAGAGATTATACCAAGATTCATAAATAATAAAAATTCATTAAGTAATAAAAAATAATTAAGGCACAATGTAGCAAATAGGAATATATAAATGTCCCCAAGTTTGCACACTCTCACCACAACTCCACAAAATATCCATAAACCACATGAATAAAGAATGGAAACAAACATGCTACCCTTCTAATACCAGGAACATCTTTGAGTCAAAATAGTAATGAGAAAATTCAATAATTGAATAAGTTACAATCTTTAAATTCTTCAGAAATATTATTGGATATGAAAGAAAATAATGTAAAAATTAATAGAAACAACAAAATAATAGACATCTTGGGTGCCTAAAGAAAGAAATAACTTTGAAAATTCTTAACGTTATATTAAAAGCAAATGTAAAAGTATGGTTCAGAAATTAGGATAACGGGAACAAAAGAAACCAAAAAATATGGAAGTAGCTCAGATGAAGTTTCAATTTAAGGTCAATGATATTAGTAAAAAGAATAGGCTAAATTCTCAATGAGAAAATTAGAAAATACTTGAAAACTGAAAATCTATTAGAAGAAAATCTTTAAGAAAGAATAAAAGAATACCACAAGGAATGGAGAAGACATAGAAAAAATAGACTAACAGTGGCTACCATGGATGACAATCTACAGATCATAATGCAAAAGAGACAGCAGCAAACTGACAAGAAGACTGTACCAGCAGGAACACTTCACTGCATGAAGAATTCCAGTTTTTCTTCTTACTAGAACAGGAACATTGCTCCTAAGTTGAAAGCATTGATGATAATAATAATAAGGAAAAAAAATTCAAGTTCACTTTTTAGACAATTTAATACTTTTCCAGTAAGTTTGCTGAAATTTGTGCTCCATGATGTCAAATGTACTACAAGTGCAAATATTTTTTGAACATCCCCTACACTTTCAATATTGAAGATAAAAATTTCTTTCCTAATGCAATCTATTTCGCTTTACTCGATCTTCAAATCATTTCAGTGCAACTGTTCTTTACATACCAAGAATAAAAATAAGTTTTTCCTTAACACAAGTGAATAGTAAATATTTAATGGTGGGCGGACTCTGCCTTGGAGCCTTGCTTTTGCTTGATGTTGGCTGTGTCATAAGCTGTGACACACTAAGAATGAGATTTCAGTCAGTATGCACAGTATGATAATTTTTCAGAAAAAATCAAAACTTTTTTATTGTTTTTGGATTTTTTTCCAAGTTCCTGGATATCTGAAAAAACCATTGACACCTCTTGTGTAGTTGGAGGCTACATAAGTATTTTTCAATTCCTGTGTGCATTGGAAATTAATAATACTTAGTTCACATAATTACTTTACAAAATATCCTAGTTTTCTAAATATTTTTCTGTAATATTAGTTTTGCTTGAAGGATTTTTATAACAATTGATATTTTAACCTGATTGCATAGTCAAATGTGAACAAAGATAATTTTTTCTCAGAACACCACATACTGAGCTTATTCCAGTCTGCGTATGGACATGCAATTGCACGTACTTCAAAAACAAATTACTGTCCTTTGAAAACTTTATGTATTTAGGTTTCATTATAAAAGAAATTGCAATTCTCAATGAAAATATGGTTTTGGAGAACCTATGTGATTCACGCGTGTGTAAATATTTTGATACTTGAATATTTTTATTCATCTGTTAGATACAATAAAAAAGAATCATCATAAGTATTAGGTTTCCTTGTAATTTCCTTTTTGCATGCGTACATCTTTCCCTCTCCCTCTCTCTCTTCTCTTTTCTCACTGTCTTGAAGTCAGCTTTGGACTCTGGGAGTAGCTTAAACATGTTCCACTTTCATTTATCATTCTCTTATCTATTGAAAATAATCTGTGAAACACAATCCTGTGGCTTGTAATTGAAGTGCTTCAGCAGGCCTTCCTTAACTACCTCATCTCATTGGAGGAGCTATTTTTCATTTAATTTTTTATTTATTTTCAGGTACTTCATGGTGATGGAAGGAGTCAAATAAATTACTCTCCTTTGACTGGTTTTCCAAATGAAGTACTTCATACAGAAAAAGATTTTGAATATCGTTGGGATTATCAATACACATCTGGTCTCCTTACTGAAGAAAGATTGGATTTTGGAGCCAAGACAGGACTTAGCAATGCCAAATTCACCTATGAATATGATTCCAATTTCCGTCTAACGGGTGTTCAAGGACGCATTGGAGGCCAAAACTTGCCTGAACACTCTTTGGAATACAACAGTAAAACAGGTGCTCCTGAACAGATTGGTCAGTTTAAGGTAAATATAAATCTGTTCCTTTCAATATTATAATATTGCTTATTTACATAACAATACTTTGTACAATATTTTCAATGTATTATACATAAAAACACTGCAGAATAAATGGTTACAGTACTTCTCATTTCTTTGGTATTCATTTTATAATACTTCTAATAAAAATAATATTCTTATGATGTACTGCTTTTCAAAAGGAAGTGGCTTCATAAGATAAATAAGTTAGTTTGTTAAGAAGCTTGTTACATAAAATGAAGATTTGCATCTGCCCTTGATAGACTGTACAGTACTGTTGTAATTGGATATTAATTTTGAAATTTTAATTTTGATAGGTTTCTCATCCTCATCCTAATGAAACAACAGTTTATGATGGAACTGCTAGTTTTTCACGATTGAGCAATAGCCAATTTCAAGAAGTGCAAGTAGCAGTTACAATCCATGGAGTTGAAGTCTTTCACATGGAATTCACCTATGACTCACGCAGGTAAGTCTCAGAATTCAACGATTTCACAAAACATTTAAACTAATATGTTAATTTCAGATTTATATAAAATTACTTTTTTGATTTCTAGCCGCATTAGTCAGACTCGCACATCTCGTAACATGGGTGCTAATACTTACACAAATGAGAAAAATTACACATGGGACTCTGATGGCCAATTGTCAGGAATGGAAGATCAGGAACCATGGGGATTCAGATATGATGCTAATGGCAATCTGTTGTCCCTAACTTACAAGTACGTTTATATCTTAAGAAAAAGAAAATTAGTAATAATGTAATAATGATTTTTTAATATTTAATTAAATCCTTGTACATTACTCTTATTAGTACTCAGTTCATAGTATGTACTTTCTTTATCATCTATCAGTAGAGCCTAGGTTATCCATTAGTGTGTGGACCGGCTCGTGCTAAGAAACTTGAAATTTTCTGCTAGTGGGCTAGTGCAAGTTAACAGTTTGTGTGTTGCAGATAGGCTCTGTTTAAATGTCTGAGAAGGCAGAAATGTTACTTAGAAGAATGGACTGGATGACAGCATCATTGGGGAGGGGTAAGCTCTGTGAACGCAACAGTAGCTTCAGCATCTTCACAATGCACACATTAAAAATTAAAATTATTTTGGGTAATTTTTCTACCAATTATAATGATGTTAGATATGAACAGTCTTGCAAAAATATGGAGGCACAATCTTCTAAGAACATAGTGATGGAATGCTTATCTGCTGGCAAACAGAAAAAATGTATAGCCAAGGCTCTACTTTTTAATATTTGAGCTCTGTGTCATGAGAAATTATTGCACTTACCATTGGATTTATGAAGATGACTTCTTGAACTGAAGTGCTGCAAAACTATACCCACTGTATCTTCCATATCTTATGTGTACAGAGGCAAAGCCATTCCAATGGAATATAATACCATGGACCGGATAGTGAAATGTGGCGATGGACTATACCACTATGATAACCGGGGTCTTGTGGTTCAGAATGCAAGAGAGGAGAGGTTCCATTATAATGCCAAAGGACTTCTGGTCAGTACAAGGAAATTGAATGTTGAATATTTCAGGATTAAATATAGATAGAATGATGATAATCTTGATAAACTTGTAAATGTATAAACATACTGATTGAGTTGTAAATCAGTCTCTCAAGTAGCGAGTAAGTTAAAACCAAGGGACAAAAGAATAAAATTGATTGCCTTAAGCATGAAGTTTCCCTATATTCTTGATATTGTATCTGACAAGTTGCTTCATGCACTAGGTACGAGCAACTAAACGAGGCCGTTTTGATGTGCATTATTATTACGATCATCTAGACAGACTGGCTACGAGGAAAGATAACTTTGGAAATGTTACTCAGTTCTTCTACACAAATCATCTACGTCCTAATGAGGTAACTATGTTAAAATGTTATGTTCTAGTATTTCAATACTTTGTTCTCCTTTTGTCACAGTTTAAAAATAGCAGCATCAGTGTTCGTCAGAATTTTAATATTTTGCTGATATATTGTTATTTATTAACAAATTTATTTTTAAACATCAATGACAGATACATGTGTGCATTCAGGTTATTGAAGATAAGATGCTGAAGATTGTGCATAACTGTAAAATCTATTTTCAAATAAGAAGAAATAATAGACCAGAACAGAGCTATTATAGTATGCAAATAATAAGATCAGTATTCAATGTGGGATTATATTTATAGAGAACTTGAAAGAATGTCAAATGATTCTTTAATATGAATTGTGATTACAACTGAAAGAGCTCTTTGGTGTTTCAACTGCTACTCCATGTCAAATTATAAATGTGTCTACAAAACATCAAAAGTGACTGCAACAATTATTAATTCTCTTAAAGCCTTCATCACTCTTAGTCCGGGAAGTATTTATTAGTTTCTGAAGTGATTTTGACTGAAGACTTATGGAGGACAACTGAATTTTACTAAATTGACTTTCAAGTAAAGAAAAGAATAGACTAGTACCTGTAGGCACATACAATAAGAAAACAACAACTGTGTAGTCAATAATTTAACTTGTATCCACAAAAATGAAGAAGAATGAGGAAGTCCAGGAATATCTGGAGGAAGACTGAACAAAAAGCATCAGGAGATACAGGAAAATTGTGGCAAGAGGTCAAGTTAATAGGAAACAAATTTGGTTGAAATGCCTTTTGGTTGACGTGAAGTTATGAAGAATTTCACAAGAAATTGAGGATATAAGTTTAGAAATTCACTACCAAGATGTATTATCACCACGGAATAAAATTTTTTAGCTTACATCATTTTACCCAGAATAATAAGATGTAGTTGCAGAAGAAAATAAATATACCATGTTTTCATAATGCTCATAAAATGATCAAGAAATGGAAGTGCTATTTTATAATCAATTTGAACACAGTCAAATAAACTTTGAACAAATGCATAAATTTACTATCTTGAAAATAATGAAATATTAGTTTATTGTACCATCTCGTTGGAGTCATCAAGATGAGAATTTTCAGATAAGGAAGTTCATTGAATTGTATTTTATTAATTCATTTACCTCAAATATAATTAATTGTCAGTTTATTTCTCATTGCTTCCTTAAGAAAGAATAATTTTTCACAAGAAGTAAGTTATTATAGAAATGTATGAACACCTGAAAAACAAAGTGGTCTTTTTCACATGTCAATGAGGCATTGGTTTGTAAGTGAAGAAGAGAAGAACAGAAGTAAATAAAATCAGTTTTAAATCTAATATTTTTCTATAGCATTGTAAAAGCTAATATCAATGAAGTTACTAGTGAAGAAAATGCAAATATGCTACTTTGAAGTTATTTTATTCTCTTCTGTGCATAATATTGCATTCTAATTTTAAGAAAAGAAACTCTTCCTGAAATTTTGCTACTTTTTGTGTTGCATTCAACCAGAAAAGTTAAGACAATTGCCTTAAATTCAACATTATTATTGAAGTACGTTGCTAATTTCAAGGTCACAATTATTCTTCTGTGCATTTTGAAGCCAACTGAGAAAAGAAAGATCTCGTAAAAAGCAATGTATTTACTAGAACACAGTTCAAAAGGTGTTACAACATTTATGAAGAGAAGAAGCAGGCAACTTAAAATTGTTGTGAAACTTTTCTTTCACTTCAGTGGTATGAAATATTAAAAATTTTGAAATATTTTATTTCACATTTCTTCTACTTACTGAAAGTTGATATACCTTTCATAATTAGTTTCTAGAAGAAGGAACACCTAGAAGATTATTAAGTCAGGAACACGCAGAAGATTAACCTAGAAGATTATTAAGTCAAGAACACCTAGAAGATTAATCTACTAAGTCTACCGACCCAGCACAAAGAGGAACAAGATCATACCTAAATGCCTGCAGTTCATGATGATAATAATGATGAATTAGTTCCAAATGTTTCAAATGTAGAAGTCAGTATTAATCTCAAAAATTAAAGATAGCCAAATAAAAGGTATAAAATGGAAAGATGACCTAATAATTTATGATACAAATTTCAATGCAATTTAGAATATTAGAAAACATATAACTGAAATGAAACAATCAAGTGATAACAATTAAATGTCTTGAAAAGAAGAGAAAAGAACATAACTAATTATTACTCATGTGGAAATAACATAATATCTATTAAATCATATAAATAAATTGACACTATACATCTATGAACAAAGAAATCATGAAAAATTTAAAAAGTTGTAAATAGAAAGCAATATAATATTTACCCATGTTCATTTCACATATATCTCAACAATATGAATGTTTGGAAGAGGTTTTTCAACAATTGCTCTCTTTTTAACATGTACATGAATTTGAAAAACAAAATGTCTAAAATTATTGCCAAAATTATTTTCTTCAAACATTTTTTTCCTTTTGTCTTCAAAAATAGTTAGAATAGAAGAAATTTAACTGTAGAAAGAAAGAAATAAAAACAATTTGAAGAAGTGAAACAACTGCCTTCAAGATTGTATTCTAATTTTCCAAGAAAGGAACATAACTTATTCAAATATTTTTCTTGATTGGTATAATAAGTAAATAAATTTACATATTTATGAAAAAATTGGATAATGATTGTTCAAGAGCAACATTTTCTTGAGCCATAAAAAACTCGCATCTTTTTGGGTTCCTGTACTTACACCTGTAAATTACAAACAGTCGGAAATTATTGATATCATTTTACTCAGATAAATGTATGATATAAATATTTATATCCTTATCATTATGAATTTTGAGTGAAGTTCAAAACAGAAAAGTTTAGGTTTCATTTGGCCCAACTTTTGTACAACATATTTGATATATCTGAAGAGGAAAACTTGATAAACATATCAAAACTAATATAATTTACATATTAACACACACAACTTAAAATTGAAATTAAAGGCAATCTTGTTCTTTTTGAGAATTTATAAATCACTCTCAGAGAACTGTGCAGGATAAATCAAGAACCTGAAGAGTTATCTTATTCAAATTTCACTATCTTTTGCAGTATTTTAAAAAGTTTAGATCATTCTCATCAAAGATTTGTAAATTTGGCATAGTGAATTTAGTAAGATATCATTATTCTAATAGAATGAAGCGTTAACTTGGACACGATATTTTCTACAATTAATTAAGGCAGTACATGATTTGTTACATTTACGTGAATAATAGAAGGAGAATATAAGAAATGATTGAGAAAGATTACAATTAATTAAGGCAGTACATGATTTGTTACATTTACATGAATAATAGAAGGAGAAAGGAAACGAATATAAGAAATGATTGAGAAAGATGATTCACAAGAAAGAATAAAAATGGATGATGCATTAGATGTAAATGTAGATATAACATGTACATTAATTCAAGAAGAAAATTGAAAACTAAGCTTTGCTGATCAGAAAGTACTATACACCTGCAAATTGTGGATATGAAAAATAATGCAAGAATAATGCAAACTACTTTAATGTGAAACATATGTTAAGCATAATGTTAAATGTAAGTTCAAGGATGGAAATATATTCCAGAAATTTCTTTGAAGATCAAAAGCATGAACTTTCTTTCCTGGAATCCTTATAAAATTGGTCATCATATCATCAATATATTTCAATGGAAGCTGCCTAAATGCCTACAATTTTTATCAGTATGTTTTATAAAAGCTTTGAATAAGCAAGACTGAGTTACCAAGTATTATATTTAAACATACATTTGTAAATAAGAGTAGAGTAATGAATTGGGAATATTCTCTACTAAATATATTAGGTTTAAAAAGCTTGATTCAGCTTTGAAAAGGTATCACTGAAAATAGGAGGACAATGTATAATTATAAAATGTAATGTGATATTGCTGTAAGAAACATAAAAAGGTATATATTTTCTATAAAATTCGTGTGCAGAAGTGCATTTTATCATTTCTCATCTAATGTCAACAGCTATTGTCAGGATGCATCTGTGAAACCTGTGTGTAGCTGTGATGAAAAGAAGAAATGGTGTCTGAAGATCCTCAATGCAGTGTTTTCAAATTAAGTGTATCTAGTGTTCTCTTTGTATGTATGTGCTATAAAGTGTTTGTTCCAATTGTGAAATACTTTTATGGTTTATTATAATTTCATGTTTTCTCTTGTGAATATTATGATATATTGAGAAATTTTGATATTACAGTAAGTGTTTATATTAAACTTAAAAATTGTTTCAACTGTTTTTAGGTTAGCCAGATATACAACCCAAGAGATGGCAAATTAATGTCTTTGGTTTATGATGACCGAGGTCATTTGATATATGCACAAGTGCATCGTCACAAGTACTATGTGGCAACAGATCAGTGTGGAACACCTATCATGGTGTTCAATCAGTATGGAGAAGGAATTCGTGAGATCATGCGGTCTCCATATGGACATATTGTTTATGATTCTAATCCATATTTATACTTGCCTGTGGATTTCTGTGGAGGTTTATTAGACCAGGTAAGAATTTTGTGAATACATTGCTCAATAATGTTTATTTATATTTATAAAATAATTAATATTTCAAGCAGATGTGATAGTATTTGATGCTAGATAACAATGATGTGTTTCTGTAATAATATGTAACAATGTATTCCAGGATTTCGATCTATTAACAAGATGTAGAAATAATATTTCATTAAAGTAAATACATTAAGTTTAATTAAAAGCATTTCATTATATCGATTTGATATTGGCATGATCATATTAAATTTTGAAAATTAGAATTGCTATAGCTCTCTTCTGAATCTGAGCCTGCCAATGAGGCTTTTTGTTGGGGAACAATCGATCAGCATTTGGGTAGCAGCAGATCACTTAGCTTGTATTGCTAAATTTTGTTTTAATAAATGTTTAATACCTTTCTGGTTATCTTCACAATTTGGGTTCAAGTGAAAAGAATTAAAAAAAAAGAAAAGAAAAGAAAACAGAGCCACATTCATCAAATAAAAGTATCTCAACAACTTATCAGACTTAAGTAAATTACATTTTTATATAATTGTTAACTAAATCAGATCAAATTGTACTGAAATAATGGAAATGATTTTAGGTAACTTCACTGGTACACATGCCTAATGGAAAAGTTTACGATCCCCTAATTGGACAGTGGATGTCTCCAATGTGGGAAGGTGTCTTAGACAGGGTTGCAAATCCAACCCAACTGCATTTGTATAGATTTAATGGAAATGATCCTATTAATGTGAGAAGGAATCGCCAGCACTTGACAGGTAAGTTATGAAGACTTTCTACAAATGACATTGTCACATCAATCAAGTCAATTCAAGTCTATTTATAGAACTAAAAGGTTTGTGCACATGGTAACAGAGTATTTGCTCAATTACAAGAGCTAATTATTTCTAAAGATGAAATTCATCATGGTACTTTGGAAAATTGATATTAAATTAGTCAAAATATTGCTCTTAACTCTTTGAGAAGAGATTTTGAAGTTTTTCTCTTTGCAAATTACTGGTAAAATGTTTTAAAATCTTATACTAAGTTTCGTATGGTTGATCCGGTGGCCAAGATCGTTAAGGCAGTAGTCTGTAGTGATCTCCGACCGAAGGATCGCGCGTTTGAGACACACCTCGAGCATGATTGTATTGTGTTATTCCTTTCACCCCCTATCATCATCATCATATCATGTAATCCTCACAGTTACCATACTGTTACAAGCAATAGTGGTCTCTAATGACCTAGGTGTTGATGTGACCTTAAATAACAACAAAATAAATAAATCAATAAACAAAATGTCAGACAATTGTGCTGTAAACATTTTATTTAAATAATAATTGGAAATTCAATTCTGTTAGAAAAAACAGATATTTTCCTTTGGTGATTTTTGAAATCTGAAGTTTGTTGTACTTATTCGAACATGTAAAATAATATTGTTTGTTTCAATAACTAGTGGTAATATTGATAAATACATATAGGCCTACCTAGTACAAGTATTATATTATGACTTTGTAGTATGTGTTCTTTTGTTTCAATGCTTTAAAAACATTTCAAAATTTTATTATTTTTCAGTTTGTCAAGTTATCAAAATCATTTTTCTTTTTTCAGATCACCAAAGTTGGCTTTCATTGCTGGGTTATGAACTACAGAGTTTAGCTCCTCAACTTTACCCTGAAAATTTGCCTGCAGGAGGTCTACCCTCCTCTATAATGCTGGGAGGATCTCTTGGTCCACCTAAAGGAGATCCTGGACGTACAGTCCTGTCAATTTCCATGCCTCAGTTAATGCTATCTAGATCATCTATCCAACTAGAACATGGTTCTAATATACCAGCGTTTAGTGTAGCTTCTGGTTTCCTGTCACATTTAGCAGAGAGACGACTTGGGGATGCATCAACTTTGTCATCACCTCCAAGATCTGCTGTCAAAAAAGATACATGGCCTCCCAGCAATTATCCAGCCACAAATCCAGCATCTGTGTTTCCATTTCGGCGACTAGGATCAGCATCAGATCCACCATTTGGTCGAGGAATAATTGTATCAAGAACTCCTGATGGACATGCTGTTGTTAGCAGTGTTCCAGCAGCCAATGCAATTTATCGTGATGTTTTCACATCTGTTTTCAACCAATCGTATCTATTACCATTCACTTTTCTTGTTCACAATGCCCAACAAGATGCATTCTATTTTGTGAAAGAAGACACATGGCGAGCAACTGAAGATCTAACCCAATTGAAACGGCTCGGAGGACAAGTGAATGTCACTTTCCATGAAAAGGAAGCTGGATCATCAGAATCCAATGGTGGAAATGGAAAAGTTGCAGACCTCAAAATACATGGTACAAGTGCAGTGGTAAATCTTCGATATGGAACAACACCTGATAAAGAAAAACAACGACTTCTACATCATGCAAAGGGAATCGCTGTTAGAAAAGCATGGCACAGAGAGCGAGAAGCACTTAGAAATAGTTTTGCTGGCGCAGTAGATTGGTCTGTCACAGAGATTGAAGAGATTGTTAAAGTGGGGTTGGCATCTAGTTATGATGGAGAGTATATTCATGATGTCCAACGTTATCCTGAGCTGGCAGAAGATCCATTTAATATAAGATTTGTTAAGAAAACTACAACATCCCCAAGTGATACAAATAAGCGCCGCAGAAAGAAGAGAGGAGTTCTTCATCAACCAGAATCAAAAAATTATAAATCTATCTACTCTCAAGTACTAACACAGTCTCAGAAATTGAAAGAATCATTACTTTCGAATATTACACAAGATTTATTGCAACCATCCACTGGACCTTTCAAGGTACATTCTAGAAGAACTTGTGTAAATAAAAAGCACTGGTGGTTACCGTGGGTCCATCGCACTCCTGCTTGCTAGGAGAAACACATGCTCAGAAAAAAATAACCTGGGCATATTCCAACTGCTAAGCCTAAGATACATACTATTTCTGCTGTAGAAAATTGAGAAGAAATGAAAGCAGCAGTGAAATGATCCATGCAGTTTTGAATGTAGAGTAATGAGCTTATCCCACTTCTGGGCCAAGAACATTGCATACTCTTTAGTTTCAGTACGGAATGTGAGACATAGAGAACAAGACTGATGCTGATATATTACATAATGTTGATGCTATAGCTTGTATTGGAAGTGAATTAAAACAAAATGGCTAATCTTAACAAATGGAATTACTACACATTTATGACAAAATAACAACAGTATTGACCAAAAAAGTTGCTAATTGCCCTGTCATCTGTAGCAGGAGCTAATGGTGATTGTGGTGGTATGTGGCAATTAGCTGGTCATAATGCACTGAATAGAAATATTCAAGAACAGATATGTTGGCATATAAGAACTGTATATATTATTTGGTACTCTTTCATATTCACTGTTTTTAAATAAAGAGATTGATAAATCTGTGTGCCAATTGCACGTAATGCTAATGTCAAATTAAACACCAGATATGATTTGGATCAGCGTACCTTTATATCATATCTTTGTGCAATGTCTTGTTACTGAAGACTGTGAAAATTGAATGTTCTTTATAATTGTAATGAGCATGCATATTACTCAAATTGTCATTTGAAGAAAGTGATAATACTATGGTATTTTATACCCATATTATTTATTCCAAAGTGGCCAAAAGAATCAATGAAATTAGTTTTATTCTTATTAGTAACATGTGTGCCAATCTTTTTAGTGCACACATTTGGAAACATTAAAGAAGGCAATTTATTCTGCAGAAGAATCTTGTAAATATATTTATATATGAACTACTTGTCAAAAGTTGAAACACTGGCATATATGTGAAAGGAGGAAAGTTTTTGTGTGATGACATCTGCGTGCTGTAGAATGACGAAGCATTGAATTGTTTCTATGTTTGCTACATCCTATTGAAAGATGTTTAAAATGGTGTATCATATTTAAAACAATTTGCAGTGTCCAGTGTTGAATATAGTATAAATGTATTACCACACACTTATGTGTTAAGGTTTATATTTTTATTATAGACAAGAATGGCGTGATGGGTCAAGATATTCTGAAACTTTTTTTTTTTGATGTGCAGAAAAAAAAAAAATAATTTTCAGTGTTGTGTTCATCAAAATGGAACATGTCAAATAATTGTCTAACTAAATGTGTCTGTTAATTTTTAAAATATACTACCTAAGTTGTGTAAGTGTACTACTATGTTAATCTATGATATATATATATAAAATTATATATTATAATGAGACCTAATGTGCCATGTGGGGCTCACAAATTGAACAGAAGAAAATTTGCTATTACTTGGTTGAGGAATACATCTTCTACATGTCTTACTATGTATCCATTCTCTTGGAACACAAAACATTTTAAGCCATGGTTATTTTGAAATATTTGATCAGTTGTAAAAATCAATGTTATAAAAAATATCTCACTCATGCTCCAAGTATAGAGTGAACAGAATTTTTTTTCTAACATGTTATTCCTTACACATGTATGCTGCAATATGTATCTGTGCTTGTATATGCAATGTTTATGCACAGACCCTCACATGTGCACACATCTGATATAACAATGAAAGCACATATCAGTTTTGTACAATTTTTATTGACTGAAATTATAATTGTGTTTCTATTGACATAACTTATACAAATATTTTCATTTAGCTTTTGAATTTATGTGTGCATATGTGAGAATGTAGAATATGTATGTTGCCTACCTGTATCATTTTACCAGATCTCACTTTTCCTTGTATGTTTGTGTCTATATACCTACTTTCAGAAATCTATGTTATTGGCCTGTGTTTAACAGATTTTTCTGATCACAGAAAGCCTGCATTTATAAAAATTGACATTTTCCTATAGTATTCATTTTGTGGTTATTACAGTGATTAATTTAGAATGCTTTTACCAGATAGTTGTGATACGTAGGCCTGGCTGGGTTAAAATAGCAAATATGTTTTGTTTGTATTATATAGCTTACTCAAGCATAACTGTTGTACATAACTGTATTTCTCTTTCAATTTTCTGTAAATGAGAATGCTGACACATCTCGTTGTGCTGAATATATATATTTTGTTTGTTTTCATTACATTTAATATAACATGTAAGTTTGTACTTACAAGCCAGACCATGAACAGAGTATGAAATGGAAATTGTTGCATTACAGTCTGAGTACAGTCACTTGAAGTTTTTGAGAGAACTACATTACTTAAAATAATATATTATTGATATTATGAAGTTTTATCTAATTATAAAAAGTGTGTCAAGAAATTTTTTAAAATGTTCCTCCATTTAAATGTAAAATGATTTTAATTTTGTGAATTCAATTTAGACCCTTGAAAATGTTAAAAATTGATCTCAGAGTCAATTCATTGTCCATCCATTCATAATTCAAAGAGTAATAAGCTCAAGAGAAAAATATTTGTAACATTTGTTATTATCAATTATTTCTTTATTTGAAAATTAAATTCTGGAAACTGGAAGGGATTCTTTAGCTATGTTCCGTTACAATGAACTACCATAATTGTAAAATTTGTATGCAATTGTATTATTCAGGCTCATTTGTTATATCACAATGACAAATTGAAAAGGAGAAAAATTTAATTATTTACTATAACAAAGATCTTCAGTTAATTGACATTCATTTCATGCTCTTAATTTTTTCATATTGTCTCTTATTTTTTCTCATTCTGGCACTTAAAATATTGCATCAAACTTTTGCATATGTTCATAATGATGTTTAACCAATTTGATCAAGGCCTTCCTTTATACATAATGCAAAACATCAGAAAAAATGGAATTGTCAAAATTTTTTTTCTTCTACCAAATCTCATAACTGATGACTGAATTTCGTTTATCATGAGACAAAATGTACTATGGCATTGATGGTCCATTTTAGTGTCATTAATTTATGATAATTTTTAAGTACCATCACAAGAGTTACGTAATGCCCCATCACTAACTTAAAATTGTAAGCATTTGCAATATGCACATGTTTATAGCAATAGACTGTGTTGGTTATTTTTTTACTGTATTAGTATGTAAAAGTATGACATGGTATGATATGCAGATGATGGATTTCTAGTTGTCAGCATGAGCATAAAAAGCACAGCAGTGCTGGTGACCTCTTTATTGGAAGGTATTATATTCACTATTGTTAAGCTGGCTTGTATTGCAAACATAGCTGTGCTGTAGTATGATAGTTTGTTGAGTATTGAATGAAAATTTCTTGAGTATACTTGACACCTGACAAGTATATGTGTGTTTTAAAGCAAATTTTAAAACAGCAAAAATTGAAATTACAAACATATGGCTGGACTACGTGCAGGCAAATTATTTGATCAATGATCATTTGAATAACAGCTTGTGTGTGTGTGAATGCATTTCTGAGTGTGCATGTATGCATGCAGATAGATGTGGGGGTGAGTGTATATATATATACAATAAATGTATATTATTTATTTATAAATGTACATACAGATTTATACAACTATAAATCTGTTTTGGAGAATGGATGTATATACTCTATGTATGTGTTATACAAAATTTGTTTGAATCTATTTTTTTTCTGAAAATGAGCTTATAAAGTGATTGCTTAACATATGCTTCCTTATTATCTACTTTTGATTAAATAATTTAGAACATTAATTACTTTTAAAATACCTATGCCTTAACAACAGTATTGACACAAGTTTAAAATGAGAGAGTAAATCTTAAAATTTTGACTTCTGTGAAGTGTATACCAAATAAATGTTTAAAAAAATCCTAATTTGGCTCAAAATAGTGGTACTCTGTGCATAAATAACATTAAAATGTAATTTGGACTGTCCATTATATGAGAATCAGTAAAATTGTTGCTAAGTAATGGAACAAAGTTTCTTCTGCACTTTATTTCATTTAAATTCTACAAGCAATTGAGGCCCAAAGTCATTGGTGAATCATCAAACAATTTGTTCTTTTAATAGATCTTCTCAGTATCTGCCTTTGTATTTTATTTTGTTATGAAAATATGCAGATTCCTATTATTCAGAAGCAAAATTTAACTGACAAATTAAATGCTGTTACAATGTATTTCTGTGCTATCATGTTTGTATTTATTGTTCTTAAGAAATGAACAGAAATGACTAGTTCTGCAACCATACTTTTCAAAATATACAGACATATTTTTTTTGAAAGGAAATGAAAATGTGTATCTTGGATTGTATGCATTTCCAATTATGGCAAAGTATACCTTAATATTTTTTGAAGATAATTCACGATCCACCTCAGTATACTTCTCTCTTTAATAGAGTAGGCAATTGATGAAAACATGAAAAAAGTTTGTTGGAGTTTTATTATTTACGTTACTTCTGTTGAATTAAATCTCTGTATATTTTATTAACTCAAATGCTTCTATTTTGAATTCAATATACAATTGAGTGATGCAGCATCTGTTATTTTAAGTCATCAGAATAAAGTGTTTATTCCATACTTTGATAATATTACATTAATACGACACATAAGTAATTTCATAAATAATTTCAAATTGTTTATAGACATTCTGTATGGTGCTGAACAAAATTTGGATGAAATAGTGTTTAATTTATAAAATTCATTGAATCTCACTATATCTTTTGAAATTGAAATAGACTCGTTTTTAAAATTTGAGAAAAAAACATTATTTTCAAATGATTCACTAAATTGACAATAATTTTTTTTTCAGTATTAATCTTTAAACAATAACATAATTGAAAAGACTTTCAATTGCCTTTCGATTGGACCAACATAATTCTTCAAAGCATATACTGAGAAATGTTAAAGATTAACTCTTGCACATCATTTGAATGTGAATATATTTGGATACGTTGAAGTTATTCATTTCATTCCTGTCTGTCTTCATTATATAAATAGTTCAATATTTTATATTGAAAAAAAAAAAGGTATTTTAGTATCAAAATTAATTGTTTAATAGGCCCTATATTATGACTGTTTCAGAAGACAGGCTGTTCAATTAATGAAAGTTTAAAATAATGTTCTGCTCAGCTCCACATGGAAACTGAGTCTTTATCTTCTGCTCGTGTTTCCTGAAAAAACTTCCGACACTAGTGAAACATGTCACTGAATAATAACTTACACATTTTACATACCACTGTTTGACGGTAAAGTAGATTGTTGACATGTAAATGGTTAATTAAAATTTGTAACACTTAATTTTTCATTATTTGGAAGTGATCATTTAAAAATGTACCACTATTGTCTTTAAATGTATTATTCATGTAACACACAAACAACGTATTTTGGTACATATTTTTGAATTTAATGAGTAAAAAATGTTGTGTACTTACATAACCACCAACAAAAGAAACAGCACACACCAATAAAATAATTAATAAAACAATGAAAATTAGAACGTCTCCAGCTTTATTTTTTTTAAAAATTCAATTTGACTGAGTAATTATTTTAGAAGAGCACAAGTGAAGAATAAGTTTATTTATATAACATTTTTATTTCTTTTCATACACTTTCAGTTATTATACAAAGAACACTATTAACACAAGATTAATAACAGCAAATCAGACATTTATGTGTATGAGAATTTCTTCTGGATTAGGTTCTATTAGAAAATAAACTGGAAAAATTTCAATATTAATCACTTTAGAAAGAATCAATGTTTACAATTGGAAAACAGAATTCAAATATCCATAATGATTTTAAGAGCATTTCCATTAGAACAGTACAAACACCAATGATTTCAGAGAAAAGAAAAAGCCACAGAAAAAATTCATAGGAAAAAGCAATTAGTAATGTCTCTATGGAGGGAAGTTACAAGGTCACATTTCAGAAATTGATGATCTATATTCTGTAAGTGTTCTAGGGAATGAAGAAAAAATGAAAGATGGGTTCAAAATATTATATCTTGTTTTTACACACCCATGAAACATGAGAGTGTAAGTATATTGTAATGGACAGGCATATGTAACTAAGGAGAGAAGAGATCTCAAAAAATAACAATTGATTCTAATGTTCTGCCTTCTTTGAAAAGTTAGTAATGCTACATTAACTAATTTTATATTTAGTCTAAAAATTACATTAGTTCCATAAACAAAGTTATATTTAGTTTTTTTATGGTTTGTTGACAAGAAAAGTTTAAAATTTCTGAACAGGTTTACACGGAATGTGATGATTATTTAAAGGCCAACTTGTCAGATTGTCAGACAAATGAAGAAACACTGCTTATTTATTTATTTACATCAAAAACAATTAAAAACTGTGTGTGACGTGCTAAGGGGGAAGTTAATTTGAAGTTACATTTATGTCCAGAAGCAAAACAAGGGGCCATCTCAGCATTTGCTCGAGAAACACGCAAACTGGATAAAACCCTGATCGGGATGGGGGGTCATTGATCCAGAAGCTGAAGTACAATACTTGTTACAGGTTCTTTACAATTATACAATCCAAATGATATATAATACATTAAATATCATTGTTAAAATTAATATTACTTTCCTTTTGGATGCTCGGTATAGTCTCTAATTGTATAGAAACAGTTGTGCAGCAGAAAAGATTTTACTTGGGACTTCATTTTGTATTGAATTTAATCGATTAATGTCATCTGGCAAGGTGTTGTAAAATAGAGTTCATGTATTATATGTGATTTTTTTGTAGTCAGCTATTGATACTGTCACCTAATGAATATGATTACTACGTTGAGTGTTGTAGGTATAGACAACGGCGTTTGCTGAAAACATATTCCCACTCTTAAGTAAGTCATTTTTGACAAAAACCACTGATTTATATATGAAGAGACAAAGTAATGGTAAAATGCCTAGATTAATAAAGAGACGCTTACAAGAACCACGTGGGTGGGATTTGCTTATTATTCGTTCAATTCTTTTTTGTAATCTAAAAGTCTGGGAGCTATAAGATGTATTTCCCCAGAACATTATGCCATATCTCAAGCGGGAATGAACATTCAAAAAATATACACAACGAACAGTATGGAGGCTGACTGAATTTGAAAGAATTCTGAATGTGTAGCATAAAGAACTTAATTTAGTGTTCAATTCATTTAATTGGACTTCCATTTAAGGTTTGACTGCATTAAAAGAAATAAAAATTTTGCTATCTCAGTCAATGGCAAACCGTTCATTTTCAGTGAAGTGCAGAGCTGTTTATTTGAAATGGAGAACTGCATTGAAACAGTTTTCTTTTTATTTACTATTAATTTGTTATTACGGAACACTGATGACTAGTGATTGACTTACTGAAAAGACTTTATCAAAGGATTTATTTATTAATGCAATATTAGAGTAAGTTGTACCTAGTACAATTAAATTTGTGTATTTGTTTATTTTTAGCTCATAATTTAAAAAAAAAAATACTTTTAACCAATGAGTGATATCTTTTATAATTTCAAACAAAACGGTATTTTATGTGAATTTTGTAATTAATAATATCTATAAACTTGAACAGGTACTAAGGCTTTTCAAAACATTCTGAAGATGAGACCAAATACAAGGTCTAGAAATACTGAATAAGAATGTAAATGACTTTAAACAAAATATATATATATATATATATATATTAAACATTTTCAAAATTTGTTTTAAAATAGATTAGTAAGTTCACATCCAACAAAAAAATTAACTGTGTTCAGGATTATCACTAAAGACTGAACCAAATTGAATATAAATTCAATACAAAAGAAATAATCTACATTAAGCAGGATGGAGGAAGAAGGTGCAGAGACTTAATTTTTTTTTCCATCAGAATCTCACTTTCTTTTAGTATAGAGAATGTTATGGTGTGCTGCAAAAATTGCTGAGAAGATTTTGATGGAAATACATGTTTTGAGTGACCCTAATACTGTCGTCTGTGAACAACCTGGCACATTAACTACACACAATTGATTTTTTTCTCACAATTGATCGGGCTTAGCTTGAGACCTTGAGAATTTGAAACATTTTTATGTTTTAATTTTTGAAATAACTTATACAAAATTTATGATTTATTTTCAAAACTATACAAAGGTCCTGTTTTAACTAAAATATCTGAATTTTTTAAACAAATGCAAAAGTTAAACTTTCTTGAACTTTTCTTACACCATTATTGAAGCTGGAGATTTCATTTCAATGTAATGTATACTTCAATATGTGAACAGAATTGATTTAAATAATTCACAAGTGTCTCGAAATTTCAAAAGTTTGTTTGTATTAGTAAGCTCAAAATGCTTATCAGTATTTATTGTGGCGGTTGCTTGTTAGTGATTCCGGGCGCATCAATGGCTACGGTCATTAATCCCGTAAGCGTAGTGTATATTATTTCCTCGAGAGACGATTTTCCCGCAAGATAGCGCGATCGGCGCCGACCTACCGTCGGCTTGCGGGATTTTCCCAGCCACGTATCTGCCACCAGCGTGACAAAGCTCCAGCTGGGAGGAGGTCTTAAGTACCCGACCGGTCTCCCAGCATGTATGGTAACGTAGTGCATGTTAGTGTGTGTGTAAGGGCTGAGGATAGGACAAGGAAGAGGAAGGAAAGATCGCGCGCGGTCCGTGGCCCGTTAGTTAGGGTACAGCTCTGTCATTCGCTTGGTCACGGCAAACTACCGATCAGAGCAGCCGGCCGTTGGAATTCTCCTCCACACAGCGACTGAACTCGAGTAAGTGTCGAAAATCCTGCCACCGTTGGAACTAGAACCTAGGACCTGCCGGCCAGAGTCAATGAATGACTCTGACTGATATCGTGACATCAGATGATGCTCTGAACTTGTTGCGGTTTTGGCATGAGGTTGTAGCTAAGGGACCATTCCCGGGGGGGGGGGGTCGTTTTTAGCCTGATAATTTGGAACATTTGTTGTATGCCATCTGGGGAAGAAGCTCTCCAATCCACCTGATAACACTGTAAATAATTCAACATAAAATCATTTGTATTTATTAACTACAGTATTAAAGCCATAATTTCATTATCCTTGTAATGTTTTATTTTATTAGTTAAATATGTCGTAAGAAAGTAAAAACGTTTTAGGGAAAAAGGGGACTAGAAATGTAGTTGCCCGTTTTGTTTTAGGCCGGGCACGCATATGGCTACCACAAATTTTCGCTATTGATGTAGTATTTAGTTAAATAGTTAAATACATTTTGTTTCGTTCATAATTTCTTTTGATTCATAATTGCTTCACAATTTTCTTGCAGAAACGGCAAATCAGAGGTGGGTGAGTGAACGCAATTGGCTTGTTACAGCTAGTTTATTAAGCTTTCGTCATTTAATAAGTCTAAACATTTTACACACACAGAAAAAAATCGTCGTCTTCCGAATCTTCTGACGAAAGGCATGATTTGCGAAATACCTTTTGACAAAATTGGCAGAACACACCGTAGTTTTTAAGATTGAATGTGTTGTCACACCGGAAGCAGCCCTGAGGAAAATACTTCCGTCGACTTCTGGAGGAAAGAGACTTGCTGCATCTTCTTTCCATCTTATAAATGCCTGTATAAGAGCTCGGCTGACAAAATATCCAGCCAGTAGAGCGCATTTAGCACTATCCCTTTCAGAAGTTATAAGAAAAAATTTGGAGCCCTTTTGAGAAAATCTTGTTTTTAAATATATACTACTTTAAATAATAATATTTTCTTATGACATTTGGTAGGGATAAGGCTAAATGCACTCTATAACGTGACATAATTGCAATATTGATCTCTTCCTTTGTTTATATCTATAAACAGTTTGACAAGTATTTCGATGTTAAGTAGAACTTAGACTTTCAGAAGTAATGATTTTGAGTTTATAAAAATATTGACCTCGATGAAAAAGTAGGTCTTCATGAAATTGTGCAATATCCCCGTTTTGGACAACCGGTTGGATAAAATGGGGAACTCACATTAAAATGACCAATTATTGAAGGCATTTATTATAAAACATTTAGAAAGTATCGCAAGTACAAAACATCAGAATAAACATCTTGTAACTTTATAAATTTGTTTTTTATTAACATTCTAGTTTAAGCAAGAATAAAATAGGGCCGAAATCCCGCACAAGTCACAAATTTGTCATTCCTTTTTCAGCATTCGAACAGGCTTCATGTGCTTAACCTTTACAGGTACCACGCTTTATCCAGCTTTCGATCCCTTTGGAATTTATCTAAAGCTAGTTGCAGATGATACAGACTTCATCAACATTCTCTTATTTGGAACTAATCAAGGTTTTCGCAGCTTTCTTTTTTAGCTTTAGGCGCAGTATGTTTACTTAATTTTTTAACAGAGCTTTCTGCTGTTTATTATTAGTTTTTCTCTTTTTAAATTTTTACTTGATCTTCTGCTTTGAGTTCTGCTTCATCGTTCAAAACTGGGACGTCCCTGATTTGGGCCGCTTCAATGTCCCCTTTTGAGCAGGCCACGA